CCCACACCCACACCCACACCCACACCCACACCCACCCCACACCCCAAATTAGACAGTATAAACCGTTTTTCGCATCAAGCGGAAATTTTTTTTTCAAATATTTTTTTACCATTTTGTAGAGAATAAAAAGCTGTACAACATATATAAAATTCAGTCTGGCGTTTCTGAATTCTAAAGCACAACACGAAGTATACTGTTTATTTGGACTGGTCAGAAATACCACCCCTTGACTCATATTTGCTCTATAAAACTTAAATTGTTAGCCATTATATTATATCAATGTAGCTCATTTTATTCAGTTTTCAATTCTCTATCTTGTCATATATACCACGAAAAATTTCAATGATTTGCTGAAACGGAAACCAATACATCTTTTATAGATTATTTTTTCTTATTTTTTTACAAAAAGCCTCGATAGTGCCAAAAGTTGATCTTGACTAACTTTTCATAGGAAGGGTATTAGAACATAAAATTTTAGGGTTAGTAGTTTTAGACATTGAAGTTTCGAATGAGCAAAAAAATCGAAAAAAAAAATTTTATCGAGTGCCTCGTATATTGGAGCGATCCTCGATCATCTCATGGACCCTCTCTTAATAAGTGATTGTTCACGTTGTTCAGTTAAATTAAATGAAATCTTTTTAAAAAGCTTCTTGTCATTTAATAATTCATTTCCTTTATTAATATACTCTTGTCTATCCAATATCACGATCGCATTTCCTTTATCAGCTTTAGAAATTGTTATGGATTTATCATTTAACAAATTATAAATAGCTTTATTTTCTTCTTGTAATAAATTAGGTATATCATGTTTCAATTGTTTATTTAATTTACTAGGAAAATAACTAAGTAAGCTTTTAATCTTTGACTTTTTATCATTAGATGTTAGCATTTCATTTTTATTCAGAATGAAATAAATGTATGCTAATTCACTCTTAATGTTTAATGTGTTAACCTTTTTTAATTTTAAGGCAAATTTCCAACCATTAGCTAGTAATTTCTCTTCTATATCAGTTAAATTACGGTGCGAAAAATTGTATACCAATTTTTTATTTAATGCTTTTTGATCAAATGGAATATTCATTTTAATTAAATTTTTATTTTGTCTTAAAGTTATTATTTCTGATTCTTTTTTAATTCTTTCATTTAAATAATGATTAGTTTTAATCCAGGTGTACAATGAAATTTCACTTCTTAAAAGATTTTCTCTTCTATTGATTTCTAATTTAATTTTATTTAACTCAAGTTGTTTTCGTTTATATCAATCTAAAGTCATTTTTCTACCGATTTCTTTATATACATTTGTTTTAGTAAAATTTTTATCATATGGCTTCCATCTAATAAATTTAGGAGTGATTTGATATAATAAGCATATTCTCAGGAATTCAATAGATTTATCAGCACGTACAGATTTAAGTTTGCTTTTTTCTAATTCACGATATAACTTCAAAGTTTGTCGACCATATTTCTTTTTTATGGCGTTAATTAATGAGTATTTGTTATTTATTTTTCGGTAAATACATTTAATAATAAATAATAAAGAAAAACCTACCGAATAAATCATATTTTATTTGTGAAACGTTTCGTCAACTACTGTTGACTTCGTCAACTACTGTTGACTTCGTCAACTACTGTTGACTTCGTCAAC